GGTACAGGAGAAGTAGCAGAACCATTTTTCTCCTATCTTGGAGTGTTTTGCATCTTTGTTGCCCTTCAGAACAACAACTAGTGGTTATTGATTCTCCAAGAAAGATGCATGCACAGTAAAACAACGACACTGCTCAGCTGCTGCGAACCACATGGTTGCTTTAGATTGCTGTGAAGCTTTACACAGACGTTCATAGTGTCTAGAGGATGCATCCTAATGACACTGATGTTTCCTGTTGCTCCACTGGGAGGTCAAAGATTTCACTTAACCTGTAAAATATCTGTGATATTTGCTCATTCATATCCCCCTTAAGATGCACTGTAACAGTTCTGACTTATCGTTACACAGGACTATAATTTTTCCCACATTTGTACAAATCAAAAGACGCATGCGTGAGCTTGCAAATTTTTGTGACAACTAATGCTGCCATCATCTGCAATCTGCATGTGAGCAGTACTTCTGTGAAAAAGGCCCCAGATACATGCAGGAATTACACTGTGCATATGATTATGTGCATAAAGTGTGCATTCTTGCCCCTACTTATATACTTCTACAGATGTGCACTTGCTCATATTACCACACACACACATCTATACACCGTGTTCAGCATGGTATTATATTTACAGACACCTGCCGGAACATTTTAAAGTCCAGTATCTGCAAAAAGACAGAACTGACGTATGTGAAAAATGGATTTAGGGAGTGATTTGTGTCATTTTTGTACTTGGCTCAGTTGAAGAGGTCTGACAGATCAGGGTTAGGAAGGCTCATAAACAATGAGACAGACTGAGTTATAAAAGTTGAAATGCTCATCGTGTTTGTATCTCCTCACAGGTTGATGTGTTTGTCTACCTGCCTGGACCTGGTGAAGAGATGCTGCCTGCTCTACAAAGACCTCACATCCTTTAAGCACATCTTCCAGCCAATTAAGACGCTTCTTTCCAAACATCTTTCCGCCCAAACGTTACCAGAGCCTTTGCAGGTTCGTGCCAGATTGGTTTGATGAAGCTGTCGCAGTTGTTCTCTTTGTATCTTTCGTTGTCTGGTTATTACAGCGTTAGTTTGTTTTTGTTGCAGGAGCTTCACAGCCAGATCCTGGAGAGCATCAGCGGCGCTCCTCTGACTTGCATTCCGCTAGTTTTTGAAAAGAAGAAGCCTATTCCTCTGAAGCTGTTCACACCAAAGATTGTTGAAGTGTAAGCACGCTGAGGAATTATCCATCCAGATCTGGCAGTTTATTTATTCATGAATTTGTAGGTGAGCACGTGTATTTGCTCGTGTTGTATCTGTTTTTAAACATCTCATTTTTATGTCGATCAGGTTGGACTACGGAAAGAAGCGCGGCAGCTCCAGAGAGGAGAAAGAAAGGGAGCGACTGAAGCACAAGTACAAGAAGGAGTTCAAGGGCGCTCTGAGGGAGATCAGGAAGGACTCGCGCTTCTTGGCCAGCGAGAAGCTCAACGAGGTCATGAACAGGTATGAACAGAACACTGTGTCCACGTAGGAGAGTACATTAAACGTTCTTGCATCTAACTCGTACAAATTCTGTGTTTCAGGGATGCGGAGAGAAAGAGAAAAGTGAAAGAGCTCTTTGGCAGCTTGGCCACTCAGGAGGGAGAGTGGAAAGCCCTGAAGAGAAAGAAGAGGAAGTGAAATATCGATTGATCGCCACCAGTTCTCTCCATCGCCTCTGCTTTTACATACGGACTTCTCCATTTGAGCTGTTGGTGTACACGGATCAAATTAACTCTTTGTACTAGTTTTTTTTTTATTATCATTATCCTTCAGCGTCCTCGTTAAACACACATTTTATACTGTTTGAGAATTCGCTGTCGTGATTCACCGTCAAATGTGGCCGACGTAGGCGTCTGACGTGACAATTGGATCCTGTTGTTGGAGGTGTCAGTCAGCGGAGCGGTGACTATTTTGATGACATTCTCCTTTCATGATAATGTGTGAAAATACAAGAAAGAATAAATACCATTATCTTTGCTGTGTCACATGTCCTGTCACCGATGCATCCATTCCCCACTAAACCAACCAGGATTTAATGTTTAACAAAGTCACAGTTCAATGCTTTTGATAGAACTACAAACATCAAGCTTCATTTTACATGATGTTCGCCAGGTTCTGCAAAGTAGAACATTCTGATTATTCACAGGTTGTCTTTAGAAGGAGTGCAGGCGGCTGTAGAGTCTGTTTATTATTCCTTATAATGAGGATGGAGAAAATACTAAACATAGAAGGAGTTGTAGGTTTAAAGGAATGCGGTGGAGTGGGTGTAGACAGGCAGGCTTCAGTGGCAGGAGGGAGCAAGGGTTTAATAGTGGGGTTATGTTGTGTTTATGGTGGCATTTACAGGTTCTTTATCAAAACAGTGTTCCTCTGACTGCGGCTTTACACGATGAATCTGGTATTACTCTATACTTTGCATATTATTAACAGATTTCTCAAGAAGCCCAGAACCAGCACTGTGAGTTCACCTCAGATAATTACCTTGTTGTCGACACTCTGCCCCAGGCTTGTTTATTCTGACTAAATTGTAAAAATGAGTCATAATGGACAGATTTTATTAAAAAAAAATAAAAAATACTCCAACAGCTAGGCTCTGCAGTTTTTGGCAAACACGAGTCAAACAGGAGGAAACTGTGTATTGTTTGGTGACAGTTGTCAGGAACAGGGAAGGATTAACCATATGTGATGCTCTAGTGAGTGTGAATGCCAGGATTGTGTTGTGGATTTAGTCATAATTAACTACAGTGGCTACGTTCATTGTAAAAAAAAAAAGAGAAGGAATTGTTGTTAAAAGATGATGGTTCAGTTCAACATATCCCTTCAAAACGTGTCTCTAAGCATATTCTAATGTGTAAATGCCTCTTGTTTAAAATAAATCCTCTTTATGGGCCATTCACACCACACAGGATTAAAACAGGACACGTCACTGCGACGTTGTGGGATGGTAAACAGGTATTACGTGGTAGTCTGGCAGGAAGAGCGGGTTGGACTTTGCTCGATGTGGTTTTTCTTGTTGACACGTCTGTGGCTCTCTGTGAATGCTTTACAGTAGCACCGAAATGATTGCAGTCGTGTTCTTGTACAAGAGTGATCCCAAAGGTTCCTTCATCAGCAATTAAACATCCTCAATCTAGACTTTAAAGGCCCCTGCAGCCTAGAGGGACATTTAGATGCCTGCAAGAGAAACCAAGTGCTACGATTCAGTTTGATTTCAATTTCACTGCTGATGTTGTGGGGTTTATTTATTTTTTTGCAACACATTTCTTATTAAAATAAACTCACCTGTCGCGATAATGTTTCCAAGCAGATCCCCAGAGGTGCATCCAGCTTCAGCTTGATGGTCCGGTTTGCACACTGCCAGCCATCTGTGATCTGTTAATTTAAGGTGCTTGCCTGCTCTGCTCCCACCTTTCAGTTGAAGTTCGTTGGACATCTCAGTTCGCTGCTTCCTCACTGCACTGCACGCTGAATCTTCATGCTGCTTCAAGAGGTTGCCTCACCATAGATCTTCAGCTGAGGATCATATTAGCTTCTGCTGGAGCACGGCAGATTATTATTCAGGTATGTTGCAATGCCACTTGGCTGCCAGCTCATTATGTATATACAATATCACTGGATTCTGATTAAGTCATGTAAATGTGTAGTCATTAATCCACTTCCGTTGTTCCAAACGTACCATGAGTGTCACTCGACTGACTCACGCTGTCGTCACAGGACCCCTCTGCGTGGTCCTCGATGAACAATAACAACAGGGAGTCATCAGCTGCTTTTGCGACCGTGGGGCTGTTCCAGGAAACGGCAGTTGACAGGTACGTACAATTACAAGCGTGGATGGAAAAAAAAAAACCAACAACTTTGAGTCACAAAACTCCAGGCCTCTCGACAGATTCATTAGAGGAAAGTGCAGGCGAAGAGATTTAAGTGAGTCACTCTGTTGTTCGTTAGAGACGTAGACAGGATATGATTGTTGTGAATTCTCACGACAAAATTAGTGCAACAACGATTTTAAAAAAAAGAAATGGAAATAATGTATTCAGTCAAATTACTCCTAAACTTTGAGTGTTTTGTTTTTTGGCTCGAAATATGGTAGTGGACAGATGGAAAGAGTCTGTCACTGTAATGACACTGTATGCTGGAGTGTCAACCAGATAATTACTGGATTATTTATATTGTCATGTGTGTTATTAACAATATCAATATTTTCAAATTGACGTGATTTACTAAAATTCCTCAACCACTCAATATGAAGACACTAACTGAGTCTAAAGGGGAAAAAGCAGTAAAAGCAGATTATGATTATTTTTCACGTGTCATAATTCCTCCTCTCAAGCGCAGTGTAACGTTCAATCCCCCTGCAGCTGTAGACGAATGTGTTCGTGAGCAACAAATACCACAGTCCAGCTGGTGATATACTGCCAGACTAAAGGATTTGGCCATCTTAGCGTAAATGGAGCAGAGCTGTCTCTCGGAGAACAACATGTCGGAGGAGATGATTGCAAGGACAAACCTTTTTAAATACACGTCTGTCTCATTTTCCTTCCCGCTGTCGAGCCTACAGCTGGACAGCTGAATAGATCACACAGCGGAGGTCAACGCTATTCATTGTAATCAGGTTGTGGTTGGTTCTGTGGCTACAAGCAGGATTATTACTCCTTGTGAACCACATGCTAAAACACTTTCTTTTTTAAAATTGAAATTTACCAAAAATGACAGCAGATCCAATCTTAAGACCTTATATTCGTAAAATCCTAGAAAGAGGCTGACATCTCTTGTACAGCATTTGGTTCTTGGTGCATGATCAACATGTTCTTGTCTCTACCAGACGATCGTTAGGCGACACATTCATGCTTTCACACCCAAACACACTTTTACGCAAACATTGCTGCTGCTGCTGTTGGTGGAATTTGCTCATTGAGTTTTTTTTTTGCTTAATGACATTCAAATGAATTCAGTCACAGTAATTGACTTGTATTAGCAGGATTACTACTGATTACTGCCAGCGCTTGACATTAATATTAATTATTTCTATTTGTGACAATGAGAACATGATTATTTTTCAAAAAGGCACATTTTTATGGAGCAAAACTGAGGATTCGTGGAGGTCAGCTGATTGATTTTAGTTCAGCTAATTTATGACTATTAACCCCTTGGCACTCGATTAGACTCCTTCCTGCCCATTGCACCATAAAAATGACTCTGGGTCCATTATTGTCTGTATTAACAGAGTGACACAACACTGACCAGAGTCATCATTTTTTTTTTTTATCATATTGCATCTCCATCACTGAGCATGATATTATCCTAACAAGCAGACTCTCTTCACTTCAGCTGTTTTAAGACAACAGAAGGAGGGTCACATTTTAGGAGCATACTGTGCATAAAATCAGATATATTCTTAATGTAGTGGGCCCAGATGACAAAACACATACAAAGCAAAAGCACAAACATGATGGAAATGCTACAAATCATAAAATCACATAGGAAACATTAAAGTATTTTTCCACACTAACCTTTCAGTGTGTTGTGATGCAAGTGACCAGAGATGAAACTGGACTATTGCACCTCCTCCTTGCTCTGTTTTAAGCTTTAGAAAATCTCATTTATGACGGGGGATCTCAACCCATCTCTGGGCCTTTCACCAACAGCAGATGAGATCGTATAAAGAGAATGTGGAAGTGCAATTCTGAGTGGGGTTGAGGTCCTACTTAAAACCACAAATGCTTGTTGACTTTTGGATTGACTGTCTTTGTACGTTTGAAGTAAGTGTAGTAGGTAAGTCACCTGGTGGGAACAGTGAGGGGAGACCTCTAGGAAAGCTGTATAGTTTCACATTCTGGCTTTTTTCTCCCTTCTTCTAGATTTCTGCCTACTCTAGCTTTAACTGAAACGAGACAAGTGGTCGCAGCCACTAGTGATGAGCTCTTAAAACGCCCTTGAGGGGGTCATTACTCCGCCTAGTAGCTTATAAAAACCTTTGCTCATAAATTCTATTGTTGCGTTTCTCCCTTCTGCGTTGCGTTTTTTGGATTTTTGGGGTCATTTCTTACAGTAGTTCAATTGTCCTTTGCATTTCTGTTTTCACCTCTGTACGTTATTTCTTTCCTGTTTGGGTCCACCATTTATTAAACCATTAATTATGCTTCGTTAGCGATTGATGCACGTTCGTATACTGTTTCCAACTGAGTGTTTTGCTTCAAAGATGTTAAACAGTAACTTATTTTCTGCACATGGCTCTGCTTCAGAGGAGATATTATACCTACTTCAGTTCAGTATTTGATCCTCTAGAAGTACGTCATGAATTATGGCATGTAAATATGTAATAATAGTTCAAGATAGGATGATTTAAGAAGAGTTTCTGTTGCTTCATGGCAAAGAGGTGGGATGTGGCAGCAGATGCAAATGTTTTTATGCAGAAAAGAGCTCTTTTCTTTGGCAGACATCATCTTTATATATCATCAGAACCTTGAATTTTTGAATTCACCTGAATACATAGTTCACACATAAATGGATTCTAAAAACATTCGTGACCCCACACTTGACATTTTATTCAACATTTAAATCCCAATAACGTCATAACACAGCGGTTAAGCTGAACATTAGTTCACATGCTCTTGGTTCTTCAAAAGTCCATTCAATATGATATATATCAGTCACAGCAGTGACAACTTAAAAAATACTTATATGAATGCACAAATAGCTCAGCACTTGTAAGTCCACCGCAAAAAACAGTGACAGTATACAGACAAAAATAGAGAATATCATTGTATGCTTCCATCTCAAACAGATCACTGTAAATTGTTCATTTATATAGACACTTAGGTGTTTGTGGATTGTGGTATATTTCCATGTTTGAGTTATTGACGTAGCCACACAGAAAACACATAGACACACACACACACACACACACACACACACAGCGACCAGGTGGTCTTCTCAGTGGGAGGGAATCACTGTAAATGACGGCTGGTCACAGACGAAACACACCTGAGGTCCTTTTCAGGACTGATGTGCAAAAGGCACAAACAGACACACACACACACACACTCACATACACACACACACACACACACACACACTCACACTCACACAACATCTCTCAGTCTCTACAACATTTACGCCTATACTGTACAGACATACAGAACAGCACAAACAGGAACACACACACACAGACGCTGGGCACAGACTCCATAAAGGACCAAAACGAGGCACGACGGGACTTGGCAGAGCGACATGGAATGTTCATTGATCTTTGATTGCGAAGCTCTCGAGCCGTTCAGTCATCGGAGTCCTCCTGAGAGAGAAAAGGAACAAGAGCTGTGAGTTTACCGTCCCCTATCCAGATGACTTCCTGTCAAGTGATCATGTTAACCTTGAACGACACATCGCTGCAAAATGACATTACAGCTGAGAAACGGTGGGGTGATATTACACCACCCATTGAAATGGTTTATTTATGAACTCTGGCTGCTGTTATAAAGTACCCAACGTCAACCGGTGCCCTTAGCAGCATTTAACCTTTGAAGGGAAGGTTTTTTGTGCTGTGGATGACTACTGAACAGATTTAGGAGATAAAATATGAGCAATTTAGTAAGCGTTAATAATGAAAGCTGCTCCCTGAATCCCCCCAAAATATTCTTTATACTTTATATTCTAACTGGTTGGTCATGACAGTGAACGAAAGCAGGGTTCCTCATGAATCCATTTCAGATGTCAACACGTACATTTTCCCCCTAAAACATTTGAACATGACACAAGTTTGATCTGTTTACTCCAAGTAAGGTTTTAAATTTGAAGATACAGTGAATTTCTAATCCCATCACCATATTTGAATTGTTTGTGTGTTGTAACATGCTAAATATCTGTTTAAGTATAATTTCATACATTCATTTTCACTTCTATCCAGTTAAATGTCTTTTAATGTGAAGCGCTAACTCTGGCCATGGTATAAAACTGAACATGACCCTCGGCCAGCTAGAGAAGAAGCATCCCAGTAGGAGGTGTGTGTTCGGTCTTACCTCTGTAATATCAGCGGGGTCAGTATCAATCGGTGACTCTGCCATAGTCTGTGGTGCTGACACGTCTTCAGTCTGGAAAAAACACACATTTTTTACAAACAAGTGCTGTATTTTAAATGTGAAAACACATAGAAAGGAGTCGAACTGAATGCAGAAATAGTGCGAGGATAAAAGATTTGTACAGAACAGAATGATTTGATGGTTAATTGGTTGGCTTATCAACAGAAAAACATTCTTAAACCACTTCAATAATTAAATATATCTTATTACTCTCTAAATAATATGGGGTTTTTAAATTGCTGGTCAGACAAAGGCGTCACCTTGAACAGAGAGAAATGAACACTAGCGGCTTTTCACAGTTTTCTTTTCAGACTCAGCCTAACAGCTTATTGTATCCTCCAAATGCCTCTTTATTAAATACACATATGTCCATGTAATTATCATTGCTATTTACAATCTTGTGTGGTAGCATTATAGCAAACCCTGACCTTGTTGCAGTGTCTGCAGATTCTATTTACATTAGCATTATATTGTATGTATCATGTATTCACACTATTGTCCAGAATTCTTAGTATAAATTACACATTGTTTATTCGCTGTATTCACAGTTGTCCACATTTGTCCACATTTGTTGTCCGTGGATGTCGTGGGACCACAACACCTTAGAGTGTGATCGTTGTATCAAGCTTACAAAGATGTTTTGTGCTGCAGCGAGTAATCATGCCTGTAGAGGGAATGCAATTAAATAGACTAGTGGGGCAAAGTTCCTCTTCTTTTTCGTCCTTCCAACACCAATCATCGCCTTTAAGGCCATGTAAGAGGACACAAGCTGCAATAAGCCATACTGATAAAGTATATAGACTCACACTAATCCATAGGACAAAATATTTGTGCAGGTTTGTCCTAACAAGACAAATGAAAATACTATCTATTTACATAAAGGCGACAACTTCCTTCAGTGGTCGTAACATTTATGCCGTTTATCTGTCAGGAGCAAAGGAGGAAACTCAGACAAACTCTACTGAGGGAGGAGGTCAGGGTCAGTTGAGGGGTCAACAAAACATTGTACTTTGTCGTAAGTGTCACTGTTTGTGTCTAATTTTCTTCCACCAGTTGGCTTTGATTTCTCTAAACCGCAAACCCACTGACCAGTTTGAACCACATGACAACAATCACCAAAACTACACTACTTATCAGTGTCAGAAACTGTAAAGATGTTTAACTTTCTGATGGCTCTACTTACACAAACATAAGCCTAAAATCATAACATTTCATCAAAAAACTTTATTCTACATGTCGTATTTAAAAATAAGCCAAGATTAACTGTTTGCATTAACTACATTATGTAAAAAACAAAAAAAAATCCTACTGTCTTCGATGCAACAGAGACGTCTTTAGCGACTCAGCTGCGACCTACAGTCACATGATAAAAATTTAGGTTGAACTGCAGGTTGTGTTTTCACAGAGTGGACAGGAGACAAGTATGAAAACTAAGTATAAATTGATTGTAAAGGATTTAAAGTGTGTAAAGCCATTATTTTTCCAGTATTGGTAACACTTGTGGGCACTTGGAAGAATGTTTCTGGGTTTTTTTCAGTTTTTGTAAAATGAATAATCAAAGAAATTTAATTTTTGGTTTCATTTTTATGATTCTTATTCTACACAAAAGACACTTCTCAGTTCTCTCTTCTTCTAGTCATGGTTGTGCTGTTTCCATAGAGGTGCAGGACTTTATGCTGCAGTTAAAGATGAGCCCACAGTGAGTAAAAATGTGACCGTGTATGCTAGAGGTTCAAAAGGTCAAGTTCTTCTAAGTACAAGACGAGAAGGTCGTCTAACCTTTACCTAACTGTTAACCTAACTCAACCATAACTCCAGCTGTGTACCATCAGAAAGCTGTTTTATCCCTGCAGCTGTGATTTCAAGCAATTTCAGAATGCACAGATGGCGAAGGCAAAGTGACGACATGCTTCCTATGAGTTGCTCTAAAGGTCGCTGAATGACGAGGCTGTTTGCGGAGGACCTGTAGGTGCAGGCACATCTATTTGTCATTACCTTTACAAAAGCATGCACAAGGACGAGCTTTGATGAAGGACGCCAGTTTGAATGCAGCAGCACAGATTTCGCCTCCCCCTTCCCGCTCTTTCATCCCTGGACGCATTCAAAAGGCACTTGCACTCTTTTCATAACAGTCATTACGATCGCTGGTCATCTCCAGCGAGTGGGCTGCTAAAAAAAAAAAAGAGGACGAGGCATGACGCTGCTAATGAAGAATGGAGGTGACGTGTCTCCTGTCTGGCTCAAAGGATGCCTTGATTACACCGTGCCATTGAAGTGACCTTCCTTAATGGGGAGCGGTCGCAGCGCGTTGTTGCGGATGCGAAGCGCACGCAGACGGCTGACACAACCTTAAACCAGTCATTGCACCTTCTCCTCCTGCTGTTGCGTTTAACACCGCCCATCAAGCCTCCATCTGTTCACGTCGGCCGAGCCAGAGAGATGTGCGCTAAACATTCTGGGACGCTGCCAGTGATGGGATTAAAACTTTGTCCAAGAACTGTTTGGGTTTTAATCCAACCAGAATCTTCCAAAACAAAATCAAACTGATACCTACTATTATTGTATTGTTTCAGAGCAATTTTCACGTGGAAATTGCTTCCTGCCGCCGTCTTTTATAGAAAAAGAGCGGTGACGTGTTTGTCGAGACCGTTTTTTTTTTCTATTTTCCGACGCATGTCCTCCCCCCCTGCTCTCCGCCGCTTTACCTACTGCTCCGTCTCATTGTCATTTTCCTCTCCTACCTTTCCGGCTCCTCTGTGTGTCATGATATGAGTCACCGGCAGCTGATGAATTGGTGAAACAACTAGATGAGGATATTAATCAAGACTCAGCATCCTCTGGTTCTGCTGATCCGCGCGTGTCAGGAGAGAATCGCCGACTCTCAACCTGGCATCAATTTTTAAATAAAATCAATATTAATGGTGTTTAATGCCTGAGCCGCCTGGGAAATGAGAGGGCAATCTGCTGCTCTCTGTACGTCAGTCTCTCGCTGGGAAGATGTATGTATGATTTATTTAAAAATCTGTGTGCAATCAGTCGGTCCAAGCAGCTGTCCATCAGTCAGTCCTCTGGTGTCTGTCGTCCATCTGTTTGTCTCCTCCGTCTGCCAGTTTGGCTTGTCAGGATTCCTCGTAATAAGGCTGTTCATCATTTTTATCCTTCAGGGTGAACACCACAGTTACCTGTCGTGTCTGCTTCAATAAAAACAACCGTAGCGATAGATGAAAGGATCTGATTGGATGTTAAAAGCTAAAGCGTGGGGGCTTTTCCCAGCAACATGAAAGAACTGCTGAAAAACCACAGGCAGGAAAACACCTTGATAATTCCTCCTCCTCTTTTTTTTTTTTTTTTATAGGGCGCTTATTTACTAATTACGGCCAATTAAGGCAGCGTTAAAGGCATGCGCATGCTGTTGTTAAAATTGTTGTCATGGATTCCCCTGTGTTTCATCGCTAATTAAGGGATCGAGCATCACAACAAACGCTCAGCCGAGTGTTTGCGTTGCCCTGGGAAATATTTGATGGGATTATTATTTCCTGCTACTCACAGCAGTGTTATAAGAGAGACGGGTAATTACGGGCGAATTTCACCCCCACCTCAGGATAACACTTAACACCTTATTAATTCAGATATATAACAGTGGAAGCGGAGGAAAGCTCAACTGCTGTGGTTTGACAAACAAAAGGAGAGCAGCGAGGACGATGTTTTTGTGAGTGAAGCCGAGCATCGAGGCCACCTATTCCTCGAAAGTCTATGCTGTCTAAGATTTGCTGTGTTAGTGTGAGCTGGGGTAGAGATTTAGCTGCGATTAAAAGTTTTGTTTTCCAGAATTTTGAGAGGATTTCACAGAGTCTCATTCTCTAATAGATTTGATGAATGTTAGGACAACATGTGCTCCATCCTTGTCATCAATCAGCTTCTGTAACAAAGCCGAGATGATTCCTGGTCTGTTTTGAATGTGCAGAAGGAAGCAATCTATTAGCTATGAAAGTCTGGTGGTTTATAAATCATTTAAAGTGATTTCATTAAGTGAATCTGTGCCACATGAACATTTAAAGCGACTACGTCCCCAAACAGCAGACACAGAACAGACCAGAGGAGTAAATCATGCCTGTATGTGTGTGTGTCGACTCAGCAGGGACGATATTAAATGACAAAAAGCTGATCGACAGGAGACTAAATATTTGAAAACAGCACAGACAAGAGCCTTACTGCATTATTTTCTAATATAGTTTGAATTGTTTCTGTGTATCTAGTAAATACAAATTGTGTTTTCCTTCAAATAAATGTAAATTAATGCAGAAAAGGGACAGATTGGAGCACAAAAATCCACCAGAATGCAGGAAAATGGGGTGCTGCTTAATGTGTCCAATGTTTAATCAAACATACACCCATGATTGTGCATCCGTGAGGTACAATTAATGACTTCATATACAGTATTTCCTTCTCATGAATGACATATAAAGGCGATCTTTAAGAATATTTCAAAACCTTCACTGTTTTTGACCATAGCTACTTTATTTCCTTGATGGTTTAGAACTATTTCTATTTATCCTTGTTGGTTTATTGTTACCTTTCTGATTCACTGCTATGCTACTTTTGTGCAGAATACCTTAAAACAGGGGTGGGCAATCCTGGTTGAGGGCCGCAATCCTGCATGTTTTAGATGTTTCCTTCTTCCAACACACTGATTCAAATGATCAGGATCGTTATCAGGCTTCTGCAGAGCTTGATGATGAGCTGATCAATGCTGGATTGTGGCCCTCGAGGACCAGGATTGCCCACCCCTACCTTAAAATCATCGACAAAAGTTTGCATTGCGACGCCAGAGAACATTTGCTCCACTGCACTCGGGGTAAAGCTACCGTTTATCTCGATTATATTAGAAAGCACTGGAAAACTATGTGGATTTCAATGTTTTATCTGTTTCGTTAAAGTTCAGTTATGTTATCTGCTCATAAATAGAATTCTGGTGAAGCACATGTGAAATGAATGAGCTCAAGTCTATCTGTGCTGTAATCATCTTGTATTTTCCTCCACATCACTTAAATGCCATATTCCCGGTAAAGAAAAACAAACCCTCAATGTAGTTGTAGCCCTGACTGGACATAAGTAACTTTCCAAATCTAAAGTGAAAGAGACAAATGTATAGAAAGAACCCACTGAGGAGGCGATGGGAGAATCATTTTTCACATTTGACTTATGTCCCAGCAGTAAATTGTTTACTACGGTAAACTGCCTTTGCCTCCTCCTCCCCCTTTTTGACAAACGAAGGCCAGACTGACTGATGAACAATCCAGGAAAGCTAACAATATGTAACAGCTTTCATTTCACGAGAAGGAACGACACGAAGCAGATATGAGAAGCGATGACAAATGACTCAAGGTCAGGAGGCCATTTTGACACAGCGAAGAGTTATGGCTGGCAGCCGCTATAGGAAATGGAGGGATGTGCTGCAAACTACCGCTTCTAAAGGTGGGCTTTAAGTGTGCGCATATACAGCACTTATATAACTGTGGAGAAGCATTGTGTTGCCTTTATGCTTTCAAGTTGCACTTTTTTTGTTACTGTAGTGACTCTCCAGTTTTTCAAAGTAATGTTTTCTGGAAAAACATGTGTGGACAGCCTGGGATTTAGTTTTCACATTCTAATAGTTTAATCTGTCTGTAAGGAAGTGACATCTTTGTGATGTTCAGAAAGTTAAACAAAAATTACTTTTTGAAAAAAAAAAAAACTCGACGAACATAGCCATAAACTTCACTACTCAACGTCTTCTCAAGTCATCTTTCAGCTTTACGCTTTAAATCTGTGCTGTCTAAAACGTCCACATCATTCAGATCTTTCACTCTCTGTCCTGCTGTTATTACACGTGTTTGAACTAATGCCAGACTCAGTCCTGCGCTGGTCTCTGTGACATTTAGCCATGAACGTAAAGGCCTTATGATTTGTTTAAGGCTGCTAAACAACCTATTTTTGAGAAAGGTTAAACATTAAAAGGCTGTATGTGTAGCTACTTGTCAGTGGGATTTTGAATGAGGCTTTCTCACTTCTGGAGATTTGCCTCACTCTCATGCTTAAATTAGTTTTCCACTCGTGACGCAGAAGCCGCGAAGCTTTATTACATTATGTTAACATATGATTCCGTTTTTTCATTTCCTTACTGAACTACCTGCTCTCATTGGCAGCGACTGCACACGCGTTGCTGTGTTTGTACCAGTGTTGGAGTTTTTTAGCTGACTTTTCTCATGGATCCAAATGACCTGACAACAATGAGTAGTTGTGTTATCGTAGCGGTCTGCACATCAGTGGATATGGAGGAACATACTGAGTGAGGAGGAAGCATAGGGAGAGCTCAAACCACAGATGGAACCGACAACTCTAGCAGCTAACAGCGTCCGACCCTCAGGTTAACTGGCTGCGTGGGCGGAAAGAAACTGTTTATATTCATGCTCAGTGGAGAACACGATAACGGGCGCTATCGCCACGAATCGAACCAGGATTTTTTTTCTTTTTAACGATTAATTTTATTTGTGTGTTTGTTTTTTTTACCCAAATAACAAGCTTTTAATTTTTTTTTTTTAAACAGATTTTCCCTGTTTTTTTAAAAATTAAAGACAATAACTAATAAAATCTCAGATTTAAAAAAAAAAATAATTAAATGTTAACCATTTAAAAATGGCTCAAAATTGCAAATAATATATAAAAATCTAAATTAAAAAAAATCTGTATTCTTTTGAGTAGCCATTTGTTCTTTTACAATGTGTGACCATGAAATTCTACTATTTTCAGGTATTTAAATAACATTATTGCTATTTAACTAATATTTTCCACTATTTTAATTTTTAAAACTCTATTAAGGATTGAAAAATGGTAAATAATTTTTTTAACTATTATTTTCCGATTTTCCTTTTTTTTGGTCAAAGTACAGATAATAACTTCTAACATCACAGAAAAAAAATATTAATTTACATGTTAACTGTAAAAAACAAACAAAAAAAAAAACTACAAAAAAGGCCAAAACTGTAAATAATGCCATGCAGCATTAAAAATCTGTAGTCATACAAATATTATTTTGTCCATTTCCAATGTGTGAGACTCTAAAATGACACCATTGTATTGTATTTAAATCAGCTTAACATAGCATATGGATATCTGTCACTGTTTTCATCATTTTTACAGTTACAGTAGTTCACATTTTTTAATAATATTTTTTTTCTGGCACCCCTGCTGCCAGATTTTCACCATTTCAAAAAAATTTTTTAAACGTTCTTACATTAGTTTTTTGTTGAAAATATTTTAAAAAATCAACTTTACTTTCATTTTGGATGATTTTCTCTGTACTGCTGAACAAAAACGAACCAATAAAAAGCCTACAGGAACGTTAACGCTAATCGGACTGCATCAGGTGTAGCCGAGGTACCAGACACTGAGTGCTGATTTGTTAGAAAAATAAACACTTTTAGTTCAACCTAAAATTAGAAGCATCTTTCTTACCGCTTTGGCTGGATCCTTCTTGACCAGTCCAGTGGCAGCGACGATGTTGCCTGCACCCTCCACGGTTTTCTGGGCCACAGAGGCAACCCCGACAGCCATGGCTCCGCTCATCTGAGTCATTCCAGTCACAGTTTTACCTGCAACTGTGGGAACGAAAGGGGGGGAGGGAGAGGGGAGAGGAGAGAGGGGAGGGCGCTTGAGGAGGGAGCATCTCTATGGAGTCTCAATACCTGTGAGGATTTACACAGAAGCGGGACACAGATCCCATGATACTGGATTTCAAAGCTCCAACAGTGACTGGAGCAATCTGAGAGGTGCTTTTTACTGACTCGTCTCTAGTTGTCAGCAATATATCCAGACAGAAAATAGAAAGTATTACGATGTCTGTGAAGATTCATCCAGGTCATGGTTATTCTCGTAGATTAATCGTAGCAACTGGACTCGCTTGAGTTCCTTGAAGACGTTGATGTCAAACTGGAAAGACCATCCCTCAACAGAGGTGGAGGTCTGAGGCATCACCTCTCACCTGTTAACAGCTCAGGCCTAAGATCTCTCCCCAGGAAGATGAAACCACATTCACACCTAGCCGCAAAAGACCCTAACGAACCCCATTGTGACAGAGGGAGCACTAACGACTCGCATAACGAGGGGGAGGAGCAACAAACCCCCAACTGAAACCGAAACTCAGGTGTTAATGACTCCTTAGGGATATAAGTATCTGGAACTCCCAACTAGTCAGTCAGAACTGATGAAGCCTCTTGGATGAGAGGTGGAACGTCTTCAAGGAACTCATACAAGTCCAGTCTCTACAATTTAAAAAAAAAATCTTTTTAACCCAACAGTATTCTGGCTTGAAGACAGATTTTTTAGGTCCCTCTGCTTTGACCAGATGGAGGTGCTAAAAGAACAATCACAACAAAATCCAAAATGTTCCTCCTATTTAAAACATGAACAAATGTCCCTCCAAACCAGCTAAGAGGTTTCCAAAATGCTAAAACAGATGCATGAAGGCAATCACAGGAACGTATCTCCTTTGCAAAAGAAATGACAACATAGAAGGGATCATTATCAGCTAAAACTGAAGTAAGAGACCGTATGTAGTGACTGGATGATAGTTTAAAAGCAGCACTTCTGTCACTTCTCCTGCTCCCTACTACCAGGCAAAATAACTCCAAACAGGGTCATCATTTAGTCACTTGACAAACCTCAGGAGCAGCCTGGAGGCATTCCCATTCAAAGACTGTTAGGCTTCATCAGGTTTCACCCCGCCTTGAAATGTTTGAGCAAAGGGCTGTTGTATAATTTTCAAGTTTTGCCAATCAGTGCTTTAGTTTTTAAAATAATATGTGCTTGGACTGTCTTTAGCTGTATGAGTGTTATGCTGTAAGACAGAGTTTTCAGTCCAGTGAGGCTGTCTTTTTAAATTAAGGTTTAAAATGCCAAAAACATTTCTGATGTATAACTGAGAGTTATTAAGAGCTCCTGTTGTCTTGTGTTGTGACGTCTTGTTTAAGTGTTCACTACAGCAGAGCCAAAACCTACCCAGAGGTTCACAAGCTAAAGCTGAGGAGGTAAGCACTTTGTCAGAATATTTAGTGTCGTTAAACAATTTTAGGAATTTTAGGGGTTTCTAAAACAGGGAAGAAAAAATCTGTCCTTTGTTTAATTACTCACATCTGGCAGTCATGCAATCATTTGGAACAAACTCCCCACACACCTAACTTGTCTAACTTGCAAAATTAATTTGCAGCATGTCACTGCTAGACCGTCATCAGGCTAATGGTATGTCATGGGAGCGGCTGTAAGGCCCAGCTGACAGGTATTGTTCTGTAACAGGGTTTCCTCCTCAGTTTTAAAAAGAAAACCTGTGTCCACATCAACACACAGCTAAAGCACTCTGATGAGAAAGCACACACATGGGAGGCCCTGCTCTAACCCTAAAGTCATGGTGGCCAATCAAATGCCTGAAAAATTACTGGTTTCACTTTTGTCTATTGACGATGGCGCATTGGTGAGGAAGGAAGAAATCACGTGTTGACTGATTCTGACTCCTTTGTTCCACAGTGTAGTGAAAGTGAAAGTGAACATTCATGGGCAAAAATACAAAGAGGTCCTGTTAGCGAGGTGAGCTGCAGCTCGCATGCAAAGACAATAATGGTACAAACTTAGCAAAAGCTCAATTTTTAAATTTGACTGCATTTTCATGTAGACAAAAGGCCAACATACATAGAGAACATGTTAAATAATATCCATGCATGTTTGGACAATCACATTTCCTTACATGCTATTGGACGGCACCGTTACCAAATGTCATTTTACTGACAGACAACATCCACAAGCATTACAAAAAGTTAGAAAAATAAAATCCAATATAGTTGCAATCAAAAATGTACCCCAAAACTGCTGTACGCTAAATGGTAGATTACTATAAAATCAATGCCTGAAGGCCACCAAAGGCCAAACTGCATTCCCAAGAAATATATTCACCTCCAAAATCTAGCAGGTCTGAGCCACTTATAGATGAACCTGTCAAGGTCCATTTACATGCCAAGTAAAAAAAATTATTGTTAAATACATAGAACCCTTAGTATTGAATACAATAAGCTCAATGAGAAGCCATTTCCTATTTAAGATGGCTTCTCTTCATCACAAAGCATCAGTCTGATGAAGGTTAAAATGGCACAAATAAATATATGTTTAGGAATTAGGTCCAGGGCAGGAAGATGTTTCAAGCAGTTTTCTACCTCAGGAGCTTACGGGCCAGTTTAGGACGGCCTGAACCTTTGTGCAACCACAAGACCTGCTTTTGTAGAACCACTTTGTGAGCCATTTTGGGGAGAGAAAAAAGGCACCTATTCTGGGTACTTCTAGATAAGATTCTAAGATATTTTTCTACGATTTGGCCTGTTATCCGCATGAAAACGCAGTTTTACGGCATTAAAAATGATTCTTTCAAAAACCTCTGACCAAAGTGAAGATTGTGGACATCAATAACCAGGGTTTTGGGTTTTGAAACGTCACTGCCTGCGACAAAATTTGTTCTTAGATCACATATACAACCTGTGTTTACATTTGGAAACAGTGGATGCCCTCAAAACTGTGTTAGCGTTGTCTCTTGTCCAGGCCCAGATACCGCTTTATGTACAAGAACACAGGAGAAGGACGGCGTTAAGGACAGTCAAAGACACCGAGGCCGGTTTTGGGTCAGAGCGGGACGCACTGCCAGCTGGTGGGAGAACTTTGAGACGGGAATCGTGCTCCCGGAGGAATGGCGTGACAGTTTCTGTATGTCTGCTGTCGTCGGAGTTATTACATCCTCATGTAGAATATGAATGTGCTTAAAAACACACTCATGCGGTTTGGTGTGGATGAATTCTTTTTCTAAAAACGAGGTGGTGTATACGTTCGTTTTTTTTCCTAGACGGAGGAGGCAGGATATTTGGTTTTACAAAAACCCTGCTGTGTGTGGACAAGGCTTAAGTAGCCCTAAAAAAACTATTCATGGGCCTGGGTATTGGTTAAACTCAGAGAAGATGATGTTCAATCACCTTCAACAATGTAAAATTCACTATTTAGGCAAACGTAAAATCTCTGTTGTTCTGTTTCGTCACAGTTCAACTCAGTACGGTTCAGTGTTTTAGCACCAATTCACAACGTTTGTCATCTGAAGGTACGTCACATAGAGTGGTGAGGGGCTTCAACATTAAAGAGAAACCCAACAAATTTAAATAATTCCCTTTAAACAACCTGTTTAAGGTGACAGAAGCAGGCTCAGGGAGGGCAGACATCTGCCTCGACCGGTTAGGGTGAAAGTAAAAGGAGTTCAGTCCAGTAACTATTTGTTGTTGTTTTGGTGAGCTCGGAGTTAACCTCATGGTGTAAGCTGTCAGATACGACGCAATGGAAAGTCTGAAGAGTTGATTATGGAACTATTCCCGTGAGCACTGCAGTGGAAAACAGCCTACAGATGTGCAACAAGTTCCACTGTTTGGATGCATGACACGAAGCCCCAAGAAGCTTTGTTTGAGCAGACAAACAGCCAATAGTTGGGGAGATTATGACCTGCACGTCATCATTCAAACATCTTGGCCGATGTAGACCTCCTGAAAGCTGACTATAAGGTCATCTTATGACAGAAAGGCCGGCAGTGGGTTAAATAAGACCTCATGCCAGCAAGTATTTCTCCTCTAATCTCAGCTTTTAAAAACACTTGCTTGCTTGACTTGCAGCCAGCGTAACAATACAGCCATTTCCCTTGATGCCCATAACAGGCGGCCTCCCTCTGCTTCCCTGCTTGTTATGTATGAGAAATGGCAAGGCCTGGAACCCGCAGGGAGTTAACGCAGGTTGTGTTGAGTTAGCTGGCGAAATATGACACTTACTCACCCGCAGAGTTGCAGTGCATCTGTCTTATTGACCACCTGAGGATTCAGCAAGATTAAGCCCTCCTGTTTTTTTTTTTTTTACGCCACAGATTTATTACCTATAGTTAACAAAACAGACTGAAATCCAAAAAAACAAAAGAGGATTTTGCAGAACAGGAGGGGACAGAAGACTTGCATTACCTGTTGAGACTCCATCCTTTGTTTTAGTACCTGAAACACAACACACAGGTGAAGCTCAATTAAAACACACATCATCAAAACATTTATTTTTTCTAATGAAGAGGGAATATTGATAATGATGATAAATCAGCATGATGTTCCATTGTTCTGGATCATAAATCAAATTAATTTCCACAACCCACCGACAAACATAACCCCATCTTTCGTCATCTCGGCGGCTCCACTCACTCCCTGCTTGGTTTTCTCCGCCGCCAACACGACCCCATCCTTGGCTTTGGTCAGACTCTTCTTGATCATATCCATGGCTGCTTGATTGGCTCCCAAATTACGCGCACGCACACACACAGCTGCGAGGGATGTCAAAAGAGAGGCGCGATGAGAAAAGACGCACGGGGAGAGATTCAAGCATTAAAACATACGGAGAGGAAAAAAATTAAAAAAATCGATGCCACCGCCCTTCTTCTCTTTTCCTCTCTGACAGGTTTGTCAAGCCAGTATCGTGGGCTGGAAATATCTGCCTACAGCCACGAGCAGCTGCTGAAAATCCCACCTGTAGGAATTGGTTACAACCCAGCCGAAAAACCATGAATGGGTTCATTTAAATAAAAAATAAATGAAAAAATCCGACAGAAAACGCGTCTGATCTGAGGTAATGTGGTAGAAAAATCGAATTGTGTCATGTAAATGTTGTAAAATGAACCATTTTGGAGGTGTTTTTTACGGAGAAAGACAGAACGTGTGGGGTTTTACGCACCTGTTTGCTTCAACTCCCTGTCAGGCGAGAATGTGGTGAGTCTTCCGGGATGACACTGGAGATTTCCCCCCAAAGAGCAGCAAAACCGGTTTTATTGTCTCCAAAACTTCCGAGTGCACTCCGAAGACGTGTGGAGTCAAGCCCGAGCGGCAGACGGAGACAGACGGACGGAGAGACAGACAGACAGACGCTCCACAGGTTGAGACGGACGCCTCCTCCCGCGATGGAAGAAAAGGAGCGATTAAAGCGCGGTGGTGATGCTGATCGCAGAGAGGAGATGCTCCAACACACACACACACAGATTACGTAGCTCTTTCTCAGTACGTGGGTTGTCCACGGCGTGTAGGTGCAGCAGCCTCTTTATGTAAAAAAACAAAAAACAAACAAAAAAACACACCAGTGAATGCATCTGTGACCAAACTACCAATTAGTGGCAGAGTAATTGTACAGGATCACACATGTGGGTAGAAGATGTTAACTACAGCTGCACAGCACATCCCTGCTCAAGTTTATTCTTTATTTATTTGTAATATAAAGTAAAAAAAAAAGGTCATGTTGGCATTGGCTTACAGTAGATTAAAGTGAGAATTTTTCAAAACCTGGAGATGTTTCCAATGACTTGCTGCTCTCAGTAGTCATAATATTCCATTTTAAAATTTTATTTCAACATTTATTTTTATTTTTGAAACTGATCTTACAAGTTGCTATCCTCTTCCAAAT